AAGAAATTCTAATTACATACAAACTTTGCAAATTCTGCAAAAACCTCTTCTTTATTTAAACATTTAACAAACTTTTTTAACTTAAACTACTACAAAATCTTTCTACTATAAACATTCTACTATTTACTAAAATTATTAACTTTCAAAATTTTAATTTGAAACTCTACTTAATTAGAAACAAAATTCTTCTTAATAATTTGCCAACAATGTCAAATTTAAATATTTACTATTCTTTACTCTACTTAACTCCAAACTGCTTCTATTGTAATCAATATGAAAACACTAAACATTTACTTCATTGCTTACTTCACACTTACAATCTACAAAATATTCTTATTAATAAAACCACCAATATTTTAACCTTTTTAAACTTTTTGAAAACTTTCTCATATACTATAATTTAAATCTTCAACTTACAAAATCTTTCTTCAAACTCTACTATTTATAATACAATACTTCTACTTATTCAAGACACAATAACACTTAATCAAATAAACAACTTCAACTAATTCTAAAAAAACTAACTAATAACTTTCTTATCTTCTTATCTAACTCTTTACTCAACTGGTTCAACCTAACTATCTGGCAAACTTGTAATACCAAACAACATGAATAAGAATTAGTACAAGAAATTACTGCTCTTACTAAAAGAAAAAACAATATTTGATTACTTATTATACAATCTTTCAACTCTAATAACAATATATTTGTATTTAACACTGATATTGACTAATTTATTTTTAAAACTCTTTCTTAAAATTCTACTATATATATCTGCTTTTACTAATTAAAACAATCTTAAGGGTTTTTTTTACCCTTATCTATAGTTAATAATTATGATAGTTGATTTAACTAAAACAAAAAATTAAAGGTTAATATCATGCTAGATGTCATTATATATATAGCAACAATAGTGTAGTTTAGGAATATTTTATTTATACATTTATATCCAATTAATATATCTATGTATTACTATTTTTTCTACTTGATATTATATAATAATAATAATAATAATCATAATAATAATAATAATAATAATAATAATAATAATAATAATAATAATAATAATAATAATAATAATAATAATAATAATAAAAAAACATCCAATATAACATTCAACAATATATCAATTACCAGTATCTTAACAAAAAAAAACCATTCAGATTTCTTGGATGTTGGTTTACAATGAGAAAAAGACAAACTCTCATATATCAAATTATAATAAAAAAAGCAATTGATGTAATCAAAAAACTCAAATATGCAAAAATTACAGAAAAACAAATGATATATATCATTAATTCAGTAATACTTACTAGAATTGCCTATTATATACAAAACTTTGAGCTATTAGACACTATTTGTAACAAAATTACATATAGCTATACAACTATAATAAAACATAAAGCAGGCATAGCTATATTTATTCCAAACTCCACAATATTTTATCACAAAATATATGCCTTTAAAAAGTTAATAAAATACAGGATCAACAACAAATTGCTCAAATGATATACCAACTTAATCATTATAACTTCTACAACTCTATACTCAAAATTTAATTATAACAAATCCAAAATATAGCTGCAACTAATACATTTATATTGATTGACCATTTATATACTTTAAGTCAGAAAGAACACTTCTCAACTACAGCAAAAATGCTACAAAGTCTATACTAAGCAAAAGTCTCAATAAAACATACAGATATCTGTTTCAAACCCTTAGCCTTTAAAGATACAACTATAAATTACATACTACAACAACTCAAATCAGTCTACAAAATTAAAACAAAACTTAATAAATTGGAAATCTATACAATAAAACAATACACAAACTATATATACTTACAAACACTTATCTGGATATATATCACATAAATGATAACAAAAATACAATAAGACAAAAAACCCAAATGGTTTGAACAAATAATTCAGTAAACTAATGAAATCATTAGAAATAAGAGTCATATACTGCTTATACCTAACTCCTACATACTCAAAGCCAAACAGGTTAATAAGAAAGACTGAATCTACAACACTAAAACAAAAAATATAAGAAAGATATCTTTTATAAAAAATCAGTATGCAATAATATACTACTAGATAATGATACCAAATTATGCAACTCTACAACTGTGTCTTAAATGTAACCTTAACAAAACACAACTACAAAAAACAAAATGTATTTTAACTCATCCTATATCATACCTAGAACAAATTAAAGTAAACTTTAAACATAACATCAAATATGATATAGAGGAACTAGCAATAATACAGTTTGACAATAGACCAAATCAAAAACCCATAACTAAGCCTATCAACAAATTATTTATTAAATCATATTAATGAACTTTTACTAATATAACCAATACAATATCATTTTAAAAAGCAGCAGAAGACCTTTAGAACCTGTATTAAAACATATCAAAAATGCAATTAATTGACATTAAGCTAGTGACCTATAAACCAAATTCAATAGAAATTACCTTAGTTGTTTGAAAAAATAACAAATCAAAATCTTAGTTTTGCTTTAATAACTATAGCTGACCAAGTACTAACAAAGCATTATGTGCAACCCTAATATGCATTGCACTTAGTATTCATAAAAACACAAACATAACTATACATATTGACAAAAAACAATTTATCTAAAAAGCAGATTTTATCCTAAATACTTCACTCTAACATTATATTCAGACTTATAAAATCTCACTATGGTCTAGCTGGCTAATACTAAAAAACAATTATTAAACAAAGGTCTTAGCAAATCTAGCTTTAATATAATGAAACACTGAATGTCACAATTAAATCTATTATTACTATATATCATATTAGCATAAACTATACAACAATAAGATATGATATCTTTATCATTAATTGGCGCAATACATGTATCGAACATGTATCAGAAAATTTATCTGACATATCAACAATGCATACCATGTTGTTACATGACATGCTTAAAATCGAATGAACACTTGAAATATAACATATACAAAAATCGACTAGGAAATCTTTCATATTTTTATAAACTTTAATGACAAACCTACTTCTAGATACACTTATTCTTTTTATTCAAATCTGAAGACTTTCAAAATTAAATTCTTTTTCAATAAACTACCCATTCAAATGATACTTCACAAATATAACTCTAAGAAATATAGTAATCCAAACTGCCAAAGATATAAGACTGACCTTGAAACAAATAAATATTAAACACAATGCCATACTAATAACACTAATATCAACTCTATTATTAAAAATACAATCACAAAAATTCTTACCAAATATCAACTAAATATATCACAAAATCTGAAAACCATCACTTCATTATTAATATTATCTAACACTGATAATAAACAGAAAAACACAATTACTAAGAACATCATTACTTTATACCAAAACAAGATAATTAACAAGACAATAAACAAAAAAATGAAACATAAAGTTGCTGAAATAATACTACACAAAATCAGCAAAACAATACACAAACAAATCTGGATTACTTGATGTCAAACAACACCTTGAGACCAAAATATACTAAACAAACAATTCTCAAATACCACTATATTTAGTAAACCAATCCAACCTAATACAACAACTTCAGATAACACTAATGCCTATACCTACATACCTATTAATTACAAAAGCCCACAAGTTGAAAAAAGAATTAACATCTAGACAGAGAATTTCAAAAACCACAATGCATCACCCAACTCTATAGCAACAATTCAGGACTAAGCGAAGCCTTTGACCCCTCTTGGCAAAGTTTGGGTCAGGGGTAAATTAGCCCTAACTTTAGTTTTTCATAGATAGAATATATACTATATCATATTATGTAATGCACCTATATATAAAATTCAATAAAGAAAACTGAGGCAAGACCTCGCTTTTTTTTTAAAAAAAAAAAAAATATTTGATTGGCTGATCTTAAATGATCTACAAAAATTAGCCAATCAAACAAACTTCTGCCTATGTACCTCGAAAACAGCAAAAAATATTCAATAGTATTTTAAAAGTATCAAATTCCGAATATTATAATAAAGTTTATCAAATGATCTGGGAAAGTTGATTATGATTGGTTAATGGTAAATGTTTTTCGTTGTCTATTACTATTTCATGTAATTCTAGGATTGGTAAAGAGTTTTTTGAATGTTTTGCTATTTTTTAATTTGGTTTAAAAAAACGTGTTAAAATATTGTCTAATGATTTGAAGCTAAAACTATCACGTCTGATTAGTTAATTTAACATCATTTGTTTCTTATTTGACACTCTCGCTCTTACATATGACGATCAAGTCACTTGATATTTGTATTAATTTTAAACCAAAGAAATCTATTTTAAAAGCAATAAATTTGATCTAAAACATTAAGTCAGTATAATTGACTAACTAGGAACCGTTATATATTATAAAAAATTGATTTGTAAATTTATACCATAATTATTTATTTATGACTTTGTAGTTAAAAAATCATTAGTGATTTAGATTATGTTTTTCCATAATAGTATAAAAAATCATTATATTGTCTTACTTTTTGTATTAATTGTTATATAAGTGAAGTTTGAAAAATAGATAAAAATATGGTAAAAACTTCTATAACTAGTTTAATTATATATTTGATACTTAGCCGGATAGTTGTGTTAATAGTGTTATAAACGAAGTGGCCATAAAGAAAGGTTAATAACTTGAACTTACTAGATTCGGATAGAAAGTGGCAGTTGCAGCATTACGATTGCCATTTAAGTGAGTAGATGATGCAAGAATAATAGCGGGAACAAAAAGGACAATAAAAATGCCTTGGATTTTATCTTGACAAAAAGCATCGAAAAAAATGCGAACTTGCATTTCCTAATCTAATTTGTTTAACATAACATTTTGTTTATTAAAATCGTCAAGAATATTTAAATTATAAATAATGTATTAATGTGTGTAGAGTAAAATTGTATTTTGCATTTGTGGTTCCAAATCAGTATGTCCGGAAACAGAAACACCTTAATTTATCAAGCTTTTGTTTTGTAATCTACATATTCAACTTCTTCATGCATCTCATTATGATCATCCTCCCCTCCAGTTTCTGAAACACCAGTTGACGAATCCTGATAATGTTCTGTTATGCTTGGCTCTTCGGCGACATCTACTGTATTCCCGCTAATCAAATAATCTTCATATCTATCATGATGTATATGACATTCAAAATCCCAAGTACTTAACCATTTGGCCTTCTGACAATCTGTTTTTGTCCATGGACCACCATAAATCATTGGTGAGAATAATGTAAATATATGGACACTTGCAATTAAAAATATTATTGCGATAATTAGTTGGCTTTTAGAGGACAGTTTGTGTGTAAAAAAATCAAATGCTATGCCAATTAAAAGAATTGAGAAATACAATGAAGGAAAATAATGATGTAAAAATAATTGTCGAGACATTAAGAAAAATGGAATGTAATGTAAACACCATCCTACAAAGAACAATCCAGACCATGATTCAAAATGCTCCCTTTTGCCTAAAAATAATAATATTGATTAAATTAATCATTTTTTATATAAATTGAAATATTGGGATGAATGTGGGTCAGTCAGACCTCCTAAATGCAACATCTAATCCCTCTAAATACAGTCTCAACTCTGATAAATACAGCTTTTCTCAATCTTCTCTAAATGAATGTCATCAAAGGTTTAGTCCTATGAGCTGTATTTAGAGAAGTTTTTGACTGTATGATAATGAATTGAGTAATATTCCGCAATTCAGTGATAGAATCAAGCTATTTATATCATTCAATTCGTCTTTGAGACAAGTTAAATGATATAAATTTCTTTATTGCAACCGGCTACAAAATATTACACAATTTATCACAATGCACCCACATATCTCTAAATTATTATGATAATCTCACCATTCAGATTATCTTTGTATCCTCTCTTTTCTCTCAAAAGTATGATCGACTTAGCAACAATAAAAATAAATAATGCAAGAGTAGAAGACCACCACACAAGCGGATTACCGAGTAAATAAATTTGACGATTATCTTGAACCCAAAAATTAATTCCTCGACTTAAAAATATCCAAGACAAAGGACGAGATTCATAAGGGTGAGAATCAGTCAATCCACTATTGGTGGTCCACATAACTTTATTAAGTTCTAGAAATTTTTTTAAAAATCCAGGCTTCCGATAATTAACTTTTTCTGCATTATGTGGCACTAATAATAATAATAATAATAATGAATTTTATGAATATTTTATCAAGTACATTTCGATCAATTAAAATAATCACATACGTTTCGGATGAGAATTTGATTCTATATACCAGATAGAATTTGGATAGGACCCGCCTTTAACGCAGGTAACTTCTTGTTGTTCAAAACCCCACTCAGGTAATTTAACCTTATGAGAATAAAGATAACATCCGGTAATAATATGGTAAAGACGAAATTTTGTATGAAGTGTACGAAGACGTTCGCGAGATTCAGAATCAGATTTATCATAATCAGTGATTTCTACACGCCAATAATCGTTTGCGTCTCCTTGGAAGCCATCATATCCATAAGCACTAAAAAAAGACAATGTCGCCATAAGTAATTTTCAATGATGATCTTGAAATACAAAGTTTTTATACCTGACTTCATTTTGATATTCTGCATCAGTTATTGGTGCTCTAACATCGTGACTATGTAGTCTCTTTTTAGTTATAGCATGATTGAGACGAATTACAGAATTATGATATATCCAGATTGGGTTGGTTTCGTTAAATGGTACTTCAGGATCAGTTTGATTTTGGACTATCCATAAATTATTTTCATCTTTATGTGGATATAAAGTAATCTGTTGTTCTGCGTATATTGAACCCCTAATTAGTGAAACCTTCAATCATTCATTTTGAAGAATAGGTCATACTCACGTTTACTTCCTGTCGGATAATTATGTAGATGTGAATGTAGATAGCCACCTTGTGTATTTACATGCCTAAGAGAAATTTTAGATCCGTATGCAACATCTATAATAAATTATAGACATTAGGAAAAATACAACGCAAACTTTAGAAATATACATTTATATTTAATATTATTAACCAAGAGGCATATCCTCCATTCCATGTCCACTCAATGTTTGCTGGAACTCGGAACTCATAAATCCATCACCCGCCCCACTGTTTTGCAATATTGCAAAATGAATTGCAAAGAAAAACATGTATAAAGTAATAGGAATAACAATCAAACACAATGCTCGAGCGAGAAAGTGTTTGAAAAATAATACCTAATGAGAAATACAATTTATTAAATTGTTTGAGATATGGCCAAAACAAGTCAAGACTATATTTTACATACTGGAGTAACACGTAAGTCACCTAATAATCTCCATAGTCCACTAATAGTTGAAAGGCCAATAAATGCAATTGTGAAAAGACCCACCCATTTAACACTGAAAATTTTAAATAAATAAGAATTTACAAAGTTTTATCAACATAATTAACTTTTATAATACAAAGTAAAGTCTTAGAACATACCTAACTGTAAGCCCAAGACCCACACCGGTCATCGCCAACCAAACCCACCACCATAGTTCAAATGGTCTATTTTATAAATAATAAAATCATCTTCAACATGATAGAATTTAGAGAGGTTTGATAGAAACATCCGTTAAAGTACCTTTTTTCTTGATTTTGAAATTTGACCCACATTAATACAGTAAATGCTGTGAAAGCCACCAATGGTGAATCCAATAAAATAAGTCTACTTTGAGTTACCAAACCATTCTCTTGGAGAAAAGAAAAACTATTAGTAACAAGACTAATAATATAAAGGGTTTTTATAAATTATTGTTTAAACTCACCAAATATTACTAAATTTGCAACCAAAAACGCGGCAATTGTTGAAAATCCCGCTAATTTAATAGTTAAATAAGCAATTGGTATTACTAAAACTCCTAGTATTCCTGATACTAAACGCATTATCACGTACGGAACTTTAGGTTCAAGATAGTCACTATTATTTAAAATTAGAAAAGATGAGATTTAAAATAATATAAATAAACTCAAACCAAATATTTAAATGTAAACATTAAACTCACACGCCAATTTCTTTAAATTCAAAGTTTCCATCGAAACCGCCCAAAACGCCAGCAAAAGTGATGAGTAACTTTGCTAACGGCGGATGCACATCCATAAAGAAACTACCCTTAATATATTTTCTAAAAGTTTGATTATTAAATAATTAATCATTAATTCAAGAAAAATTTTATAATGAACAATATAAACATTGAATTCTTACGATGCAAAACCGCCAAAATGAACCTCATCAAATCTAATATATATATATATATTGATTAAATTTAATACTTGAAAATCAATGGAACGAAAAATCCAATTGTAGTGATATTGACTTACACTACAGAACTAGGATGCCATATGTTATATAATCTTACAAAGAAAGCAATTATTGTAAGCCCAATGAGATTATACGAGTCTATATCAGATAATCCCATCAGGGATCTGTAGGATCTCTTTTCTTTTAAGTTTTCGTCTAAGCCATATATCTGAGATACAGTATAATCTTTGTATCTTGTTTTACGATTTCTTATGTCACCCGTCCCCACGGTTGTTAAGTATTGCTCTGCAAAAATAAAAAAAAATTAATGTTGCCTTAAATAAATAACTATACATGTTATTTGAAAGTAACATGACAATACACTTAAAATTGAGAAGCATACCTGGGTAGAGCGACGCCATATTAACGTTAAACAAAAAGTGGTGAATCTAGTACACTAAAAATTATCGAGAATGAAGATAGGTGTTATGTAGATCAGACAAGAAATTTCAAGTTTCCTTTATGTACGTGTAGAAAATTTTCCGACGACAGATCCAGCAAATTCGATTACGCCACGTTAAATTATATGTTAATTAGTGTAACCTTGGGCAGCACTAACGTTTATTTGTTATATTTGTTATCTAACGTAGGAAAAAGTTCATATGATTGGTTATCATTGTCTAAAATATAAAATTTGTTCGAGTTGCTAATATAAATTTGTTTGTGTACCCTGCTATAATACCCGGATATAATTCATGAGAAAAGACTCGGATATTATTGGTTAAATTAATAATCTTTTTTTATTTGATGCTTTACTATGGTCAGTCTATAAAATAAATCATTTTTATGTGATAAATTTATTGATTTCATAAACTGAGATAGTAAATCATTAAATAAAACCGTTATTGCATGCGAAGTATGCAGAATGAAAACTTGTAAGTGAATATTTTCATTGTAGTGAACTTAACCCCTGAAACTTTATGATATTACGTATTGGTATCGATGATCTGCATTTGATTTTTTTCATCTCAGCCAGAATCTAGAATCCTGGTGGAGACGAAAAAAATCAAACACAGATCATCAATACCATTCATTTCCAGGTTTTCATTATGCGGCACTCATATCGTATTTGAAATCTTCATTAAACTAATATTGAATTAGTAATTAGACTCACGAGGGCACTATTTAAGAAATCTGACGGTTCATTAATAGTACTCAGTTAATGGTGTTTTGTTCTTATATTCTTTTAATAATAATATTTTTTAACCAGATCTAAGTTTAGCAAATTTTAAAGCTTTTTGGTTTAACTCTAAAGACGTTCTCAATTACCTAAATTAATAGGTCGGTGCTCAATTTTTAATTAGTAAAGTGAGTTCATCATCGCAATGAAAAAAAGGTGGTAGAGACCATCTTTTTTTTATTATAGAGTTGCATCAGCTGGCCAAAACTTAATATCTGCGTTTCGCACTATAAATCTTTAGTCAAATTGCTATAAAGATTAATTCAATTAATCACAGTGCTTGCACATGATATCGATCACTAGCAAATATCATTGAGAGGTATGCCTTAATTTCATTTTTGATAATACTAGTTCGATTAACACTACTGAGCGTTAGATCAACTTGCAATTTCCCGCTCCTTAGTAATGATGAAATACTTACAAACGTGATTAATTCGTTTATACTATATTTTTTGTACATAAATGAATGACTTTTTATAATAGCGATGGTGTAAAGATATCGTTAGAGTAACTTTATATGTTAGATTTAACATCAGTGGTGATATTCAAACTAAGATTATAGAACACTTGTGTTGTTATTTTCTCAAAGTCAAAATTGTTATATTAGCAACAAAACTTTTAAATACTACCATTATAGCATATAAAAAACAATTTTATTAACATTTAATGCATTTAATCCAGGGGTGTCAATAGAAACCAAGCAAATTGTTTCTAAGTTAATTTTTAAAGTAAAATATCTCAATAACTATTAAATCAAACTTGGTAAATTTTTTTTGATTTTAATTTTATAACTAATAAAATTAAAATAAAAAAATCTTATCAAGTTTGGTTTAATAATTGTTGAGATATTTTACTTTAAAAATTAACTTAGAAACAATTTGCTTGGTTTCTATTGACACCCCCATATTGCGTCTTTATTACACGGCCTAACATGCCCACCAAACACCTCAGAGAAGCTGGTACCTCTGCGACAAAAGGCACACGCGTATAAGAACCAAGGCTATCAATAAAGAAAGATACATAACCCATTTCTTATATGAAAACAGTAGACCTTAATGCCTCATGTTTTTACTAGAGATGCGGTAGAAACTGTTGCGGCTTAGTTCTGGCGTAGGACGTAACAGTTCCTACTGCATATCCAATTTCCACAAACAAAATACTGTTATCCGGCTAAGTCACGTGCCACGTGACACGGCTAACCAAATAAGGGTGACCCGGCTAGAAAGATCAGAATCGTCAGAAAGGACCGAAATGTAGGAAAAGTCCTTTCCGACGAAAAGAGCGAAGTAGGTAACTTAGTTGGTAATGGAGGGATCACTAATAAAGTCGTAATCATTATAGTCTTAGATAATGGTAATATAGACCAAGAAAATGTATA